TCTTGAACTGATGGACAAAAGCGCCATCTGGAGGACAACATTATACAATACAATCGACACTGTAAGTCAACCTGGAAAGTTGCACTCAGTGAATTGATGACTATTTATCATGTGGTATTTGACAACTGACACTGAATTCAAGGTTCACACTTGGTTCACATCTCACATATTAGTAAGACACGAACAGCAAACACCCAACCACATGGCTGTGCCTTGAGAGGCCTATGGCCTAACTTACATGATGCTTGTTGATGTGCTATCAATGATTACACTTACACATTTTCCCATGCTAATTGAAAGATCCACAGACACTGAAGGAGGAAAACAAGCCAAACTAGGAACCAGACTATCATAGAGACTTGGTTTGACCACCTAACAACCAGCAAGAAGCCCCTATGTCCTACAAACACAATCAAGAGGAACGCCGGCTTCAGACGGGTTTGTCTTTCTCACTGATGTTAATTCAAAGCAACGTCTTATAGTCAAGAAACAACATGCTGAATGGACATGCCAAAGTTTACAAACTCAGAACTGGGAAATGGCTGAAATTTAATGTAATCATTTATTCATGTGTTATATTAATTAATTAGAAAATGTTTAATACTCTGTTCTGGAGCTGAAGCGCTTACAATGACCGGCGTGTTTTGAAATCTGAAAGAAACGACCAATAGATGTGATTCCAACTCAAATCAGCATGAACTCAGATCGTTAGAAATGTTTTCACAATCTACACATGATCTAAATTGTCGAAGCGTCATGATTAATGTGAAGCATTTCAATGGTGTTAACTGAGTTGTTTCTCAGGTCTTTGCTGCCAGTAACCGATCCTGAATGGAACGAACAGATCTCCGTCTTCTGAATTCAAGATCTGTTACTGACACCTATGACCTGAAGAACTACAAAATACAAGAGACCAACAACACGTTATGTTTCCACACTGTTGTTATTCTTACTGTTTCAATCTTTGATTGAGTTTGCCATTTCATTCGATAGAGAGTGTTGCGGTATATAAATAAATAACTCTTAATATCTTTAGGGGTCGTTAGTTTTCTTATTATTATTCTTTTTCTTCTTCTGTTTCTGAAGTCTATGGCAGCCCATAGAACCATTTGAGGGAAAGTTATGACATTTGGCACACAGATAGAGGACAGTCTCAACATTAACCACAGCGATTTTGGAGTTTCTAACTCAATCCCTAATACATTTTGAACTGAAAGGGCTAAAAAACAAAGTCCTTTTTCCTCTGTTTCCTTGGCTCAAGACGATTTTGACTAAAATAATATAAAAATGTCTTTAATTACTCATTGTTGCAGTTGCTCTCAAGCTCCCATGTTGACATAACTCATTTTTGTGCTTGGCCCCTTAATTGTTGCTTGCAGCTATATAAAATTGCAATGCACATACACATACACATACTCCTCTACATACTGTAGTGCAGAAGCCTCTCGAGTTCTTGGATGAACGCTTCTGGCCAGTGGCCTGCAGTTCTCAGAGGAGGGAAAGTACTCTCAGTTGATTTTAATGTTTTTGTTTGTTTGTTTAATAAATCAAATGTAAATGTATGTCCCAGTTACACTTGATGTTGTCACATTTCCCTTGTTAAATAAACATTACGTAACGGTTGCTATGATGTGTGATTGGACAATGGCCGTTTTGTGGGAGGGGCCCTGCGAACGGTCATTTCTATTAGGGCTGTACAATTATCTCACGCAGAAACGTAAAATATGCCCTGCCGCAGAAGTAGACAACACACACATCACACATCCACTTTTAGACACGCACTTGCGAACTTCCCTAAGCACTTCCCCTCGGGGGAATCCCTGCCGCCATTTTGAAGTGCGCTCCACTTCGTGAGGTGGACGAGGGAAGTTTATATGGACAGACCCTCGCTCCCTCGATTTTGACTGAGTCTACTTCATATGTACACTTCAGGCAGCTCCATATACCACAATGCAACACGATTGTGACGTCAACGCATATTGCGTTTAATTTACCCCACCACAAACAACTCTATGATATATTAATTATTTAATTTATTGTTATTTATTGTGACATGAAGGTCGTGAAATCACCAGCCTCGCCTGAGCGAGAGAATCCTGTGGCTTTCACGTAGTGGAACTGCGCAAAGCTTCTGTGTTGTACGTCACACGCAGGCTCACTATTGGTCGACGCTGGTCATGTGTGTGATGCGTGTGACGTACAACACAGAAGCGCTGCGCTGTTTCACTACGAGAACTATCTCGAGGCCCACAGGGAAGGAAATGAATAGTTGAATAAAGTCGTTATTTTTGTTTGTTTTTTGCGCACAAAAAGTATTCTTGTCGCTTGATAAACTTAAGATTGAGCCACTGTAGTCACTCAGACTATTTTAACGATGTCTTTCATAACTTTTGGGCCGGTCAGTTTCAATCCCTTAAGAAGCCTATGGAGGAGTGATCCAGCTCTCAGATTTAATCACAAATATCCTAATTTGTGTTCCGAAGATGAACGAAAGTCTTACGGGGTTGGAACAACATGAGGGAGAGTAATTACTGACAGAGTTTTCATTTTTGGGTGAACTAACCCTTTAATGTCACATTTGACATTAATGTTGCGTTGTTTTATTTTTGTAATAATTGATTATATTATAAGACACTGCCTCCTCCACTGGAAACTCCTAGCTCAGATCTCATGGTCATCTTTAGTCTCAACACCACCACCACCTGACACAGACTGCTCTAAATGATCAGTGTTATCGTCTTTCCTCACAGTAACACACAGTTGTTCAGGAGAATGGATGAACTGTGTCCAAAGCTTGATGACACTCTGCGGTTTCACACAGCATTCAGGACATCAGTGTTAGACAACATAAAGGTTCATGCTGAATCCTTGACCAAAACCATGCCAGGGAAAGTTTTAGGATCGTGCAAACAAACTTCACCAGCGTGATTACACAGATGTTCGTTTAGTTTACACACACGCTCTTTTACACTGTAACGCCTGAGTTACTGACTAATACAACTGAAAACTTCCCCTTAAAGTCTGAGGATATCTGAGGTAACAGAAGAAAAGGACACGGTAAAGCTGTGTATCTGTTGAACTTAACCTGATACTGTTGAAGAGAGTAGTTAGGTGCCTTTCCCGACCCGAAGTTAAATCCTCGATCTGTGAATCCTAGATCCATGAAGACAGGCCTGTGGGACATCTGGAAACATATTCAGCATGATTGATTTCCTGCTCTCTTAATCGCGGGCCTATTAGTCGTGGTTATCGTTGTGTTCTTGTACCGGTAGATTTGTTTTCCCGGTGGGTATAACCATGAATGACCGCTATGGCTGAAAAGGTTGCTGAAACACTGGTGCAGGAAGTCTGAAATATCTTAACCAGACTGATAGTGATCAAGGGACATATTTAGCTGGCAAAGCTTGTTAAACCGCAATAAAACAGCTGGGTATGAAGCAAGTACTAAGGCAGCTAAGTCTCAAAATAGACCACAGAGAGCAGGATTGATCATGTTTTGCCAGTATTTTGAAACGCAATTCAATAAATCCTCATACAATCCCCTTCGGCTTACAACTGTGGCTTTCACATGACGCCCATTTGACATCAAGAGACCTCGGCTGTATTATCTTAAAATCACCATGAAATAAAAAAGGACAACCATCCGATCAATTCCCCAGGACAAAATCAAGCTCCGCCCTTCACTTGATCTTGTTCCAGAAGCCGTTTCACGCTCATAGACGTCACAATAGGGGATAAAAGACCTGCACAACTGCTGTTTCATGCCGGCTTAAAGATCCACTGTGGAAATCTAGAAAGCATTCATGGAAATCCTAAATATGTGGTCACAGGGTTAAAGTGACAAATGCCTAAAATTAACCGTGAAGCAATTTATGCAATTTAACTGTTTCAGTGTTCAACATATTTTAATGTAAATAATTCTAATAAGCAATGACGTTTCCCTTTCTAAACATGTTTTGTACAATGTTAAGGTGTTGATGATCAGTCAAAAATGATCATCATTTAGTAACCATGGGCCCAGTTGTTTAAACAGTTTCATCAGGATCAGAATGATCAAGATTTGGAAATCCCATGTTTTGCTATCCAGGATCAGGTAATCCATCTTAGAAAAAAGGATTGGATCACTCTGATCCAGATACACACCTTTTCAGATTACCGAATCTGGATTAGCAGTGCTGTGAACGGGATCACATTTCACAAGGCTAATGGCTATATAAAGACCAACAGGTGGAAGAGTTGAAGCGGGGTCACTGTAAGTGTTTTAATTCGAAGAGAAAGAAAACAATCGCTTCCATTTTCAATCTCCTTTAAACAATCACACCCCAATGGAGGCACTACAGGGACATGGTGATGATAGAAAAAAATATGAAATGGGAGAAAAATTATGTTTTGCATGCAAAAACTGTGTTCATTCGCAAAGAGCTCAAGTTTTGAGAGTGAATGCAAAGTCTCGTGGGGGAACGCAAAACATTTGCTAGAGAGCGCAAAATAATGAATTCATTTCTCCTCCATCTCATATCTGTCCTCCAGTCACCATGTCCCTTCACAGCCTCCGTAGCCCTATATATATATATATAAAATGTAAACCAGCAGTGGGGTTTGTTCATATTTGACCCAAAACATGGGTTGAAACATGGATAGTGTAATGGATATTCAAAGCTTATACGGGGGCTCAAATGTTCAGGGTTTTTTTGCACATTGGTTTTGTTATGCAAGCCTTTTACTCTAGAATCAATTCCCTCTATTAATGTCTTTAAAAACCCATTACACTCTGCACTGAAATAATTATGTTGCTATTTTTATTTCTCTTTCATATTTATTGTATCTGTTGTTTAAATGATGTATCTGTGTTTTTATGTGAAACTTAATAGAGCCATCTAGACCAGGGCTTCCTGGAAGAAGAGATTGCATCTCAATGGGACCTTCCTGTTATTAACAAAGGAAGGACAATATAAAATATAATAAACTACAGCCCGTCTCTATCGCGCCCCCTCGCGGCGGCGCGTCGCACTGCGGGAGTTTAACTCTTTCCTCTCCTGCTGTTTGTGTCCTCTCAGTGGAAGATGGCGACCAGAGTCCTTCAGAGCTCCTGCTCGGGCCTGTATCGGGCTAGAAACACGGGCCGGGCGAAGGGACACGTTACTGCTGTTATCAGGTCAGTCAGTTTATCTCCATTACACGTTATAAATCTGCGTGATTAGTGCTTTAGTGCGCAGATACCTCGGGTTCACGGGAGGTTAGAAACGCAGGGCGCATTAGTAAAGGCGTGATTACTCTAGAAGGCATTCAAACATCGAAAGCTTCACTATTTGCTTGATTTAAAAGTGTGTGTTTAAGCAGCTCGACTGCTATAGTTTGCTATGTAGATGACAGAGGCGTCTGAGCGTGCGCTGAATACACTGCTCAAGGTCATAGTAATTCAGCAGGACATCACGTGTGTTTTATGATGAACACAACATGAAGATTTGGCGTTTCAGTTTTCATGCACTGGTTAATGACCGGCTGTAATAGTTTAACTGATGAATGACACATGCACAATATTAGAAACCCATTATGACGTCCTGTAATACAACTACAATTACAGACTACTTATGTGACATGGGAAAAATAAAAATGTGTATATGGTTTCATAATGCAAAGTAAGTAACATATATGTCTATTGTATCATTTTAAAGGGTTAGTTCACCCAAAAATGAACATTATCCCATAATGTACTCACCCTCAACTCAAGCCATCGTACGTGAATGACTTTCTGCTTTCAGATGAACACAATCAAAGTAATATTAAAAAATGTCTTGGCTCTTCTGAGCTTTATAATGGGAGCGAATAGTAACTCAGATTTTAAAGGCCAAAAAAGCACATTCATCCATCATAAAAGTAATCCACACGACCCCAGAGGGTTAATAAAGGCCTTCTTGAGGATGAGTAAATTATGGGATGGTTTTCATTGTTTAACCCGTTACCGAATGCACATATATTGTCCTGTTCCAGGGGTCTGTCAGCGTCTACTAACCGGCAGCGAGAGGACAGCTGGTTCAAATCACTGTTTGTGCGGAAGGTGGATCCGAGGAAAGACGCTCACTCACATCTGTTAGCCAAGAAAGAGGACAACAACTTGTACAAAATACAGTGTAAGCTCTGCTGAATGTTTGCCCTCCGCTGTAAAACATCTCAATGCCAATGTGATGTGTTACTGACTCACATATGTGTTGTTGTGTTGCAGTTCACAATGTGAAGCCAGAGTGTCTCGAGGCGTACAACAAACTGTGGTGAGTCAGGATTCCTCACGTCAACGCACCAGGTCAGATGACGCTGTTCGGTGTTAATGACATAAATCAAGCTGTTTTTAACGTCTTCAGAGTCCCTTGAAGCCGAACGGGTTTGACTACTGAAGTTCAAACTAGCAAATGTCCTGCTTTCTATTCCTGTCTGTGATTGGCAGGGTCCGCTAAAGCCCACTCCTCACTCCTCGAGTGTTTACTGCTCTACGCATCGGCACAATGCCACACGGAGACCTCGACGAGACTTGAGACGCACTGACCAATCACTAACGTGTCCGAATGTCTCAAAGTGTTTGAATCAGACAGTGTTTTGGTGATTTTATATGTATGAAACCAGTTCTTCTCTAGTTTACCAGGGTCTATGCAGGTCCTTAAATTCAGTTTTAAAAATCGAAGGCCATAAAAAGTCTTAAACCCAATAGCGTACTATCGTACAATACTGTGCAATAGACCACATTTACAGTTTCGAACTGATGCATATCTGCAGGTTATAACGCGTTATAGGGTTCTTCTCATCATTTTAGCACGTTATCATTTATGTTCGATATGATCTAAAAAATCTACATATAAGGTCAACCGGGCTAAAGGCACACCTTACGAAAACAATTGCTTTTCACTATTCATATAGTCTATGATTGCAGAAAAATATATGTTTGCATTGAACATTGATGGAGCAACAGATTTTGTGTGAAAATTTAATTTAAAAGTTTTTTTTTTGTGTGTCTTATATAATGGGTCTTTCACACCACACACACACACAGGGTTAAAGCATTATTTGTAATAATATCTACGTTAATACTTGATCAAAACAATCACTTAAGCAAAGTTTGCTCTATTTTGCTCAATTCATTTTTGTTCAACAAATATACTTGTCATTAAAATGTTCAATTTAAGAATACAGAAACAAAATTATTTAAAAAAGTAAAGATTCTGAAAGCATTGATTGACATCCAATAATAATTTAACACAGATTTACAGTAGTAACAATAAATGATATTTGATTATATGATGTGATTAATATAATATTCTTAAATATGATGTTTTCATTATAAATATGGTGATTATCTCTAAGGTGGATTAATAATTGATATTTCCCATCTGACTCTAACCATGTCATGTCAACGGCTGTTTATTATCATGTTTATTATTATGCCTTTTGCCTCAAATACCATACTTTTACATATTCTTCCGTTACTGAAAAACTGTTGCTTTACTTAGCTTGAACAGAACTGAAAATCATTAAGACCACCTTTGTTTCAAAATATTTTCTATAATTTTAATAATTCTCACTTGCTACTAAAAAAACCATCAAATATTTGATCAAAGTAGCGCAGAATCAACTTTGCAGCTATGCCACCACGTTCACAGTCACTCAGATCACCTTTCTTCTGTTCTGACGCTCAGTTTGAGCTTCGCCAGATCGTCTTCATCATGTCTACACGCATTGAGTTGCTGTCTTATTATTAGATATATGCGTTAATGAGTGGTTGAACTAATAAAGTGGCCGGTGAGTGTGTATATGAAATGATTATTCATTTGAAATGTGATATTTATCAATTTTTTTCTGTCCATAACTGTAATATATGGCCTGTAAAGTTGTTGTAGTCATGTTATGGTTTGTACGCTAGCATAGACCCTGCCCTGTGTCCCTTGTGTAGTGTTGTATCAGAAGAGGCTGGTGTGATTGGCAGAGCAGTACAGGTGTTGACGCACGCTTCCCCCGCTCTTGTCTCCACAGTAACGAGGTGCTGCCGGCCATCCACGATGACAAGCATTACCCGTGTGAGCTGGTGGGCACGTGGAACACCTGGTACGGGGAGCAAGACCAAGCCGGTAAATACTGCACCATCGGTAGAGTGTGTTTGGAACGAGAGTTTCTGCTCCGTCGGGGTCGGAGGGTCACGGAAGGGTTAAGTAGATGTGTTTCTCATCATGTTCACGTGAGCGCTGATGACACACTGTGACTTTGCATCTGGTTCACTATGTAGTGCACTTGTGGCGGTACAGAGGAGGATATCCAGCTCTCACTGAAGTCATGAACAAACTGAAGAATAACAAGGTAATCTAGAACCAGAAATGTTATGCTTTTGTGTCGTGAATACACACCAAGAATTGCTGCTTCGTTGCAAATTGAGTTTTATAGTATTAATATGCATGGCAAAAATGGCATGTGTTTTGTCAAATACTTGTGTTGATTGAATGCGTAAGAGATATTACAGTTGTTATCGCAGAATAAACCCGACATGGTGATCAGGGTCAGGTCTTGCATCCGCCTGAAGGGGTTTATTCTGCGATAACAGCCGGCTGGATGTACATTATCCCGCTTATTACACGGATACTTGCCACATAAGTAAATAATTAGACATGAAATATTGACTTGAGTTAAAAAATTGTATTAGCTCACTAAACTTCCGCTAAGAAAACTTGCTTTCAACTAGACGAACATTTAAAGGTGCAGTGTGTAATATTTAGGAGGATCTGTTGACAGAAATGCAATATCATATACATAACTATGTTTTCAGTGGTGTACAAAGACCTTACATAATGAACAATTATGTTTTTATTAGCTTAGAATGAGCCATTATCTACACACACACCGCGGGTCCCCGTACATCGACATGTTTCTACGGTGGCCCTGAACGGACAAACGTGTTTCGTCACTGTGTTGTTGTTCGTGCAAAGAAGCGAAACTAGAGTCAGCGAATAAAACAATGATGAACAAGTAACAATAATATTCGCAATAACATATCGTTTTACTGAATAATTAAGACTTCTTTGTAAAGAAACCTCATTGCTTAACTGGCTACTCTCTGCTGTCTCAGACGACGACATCACTTCCTGTCGGCCACGTAACTTCTTTTGGGTGCAATTCGCAACCTCACCACTAGATGCTGCTAAAAAATCACACACTGCACCTTTAAGGGATAAAGTACATTCAAATCACTTATTACGCGGCTTATAATAATTATGGGGATAAGAGATATTGATTTGAGATGAAACGGTTGTAAAAATGTTCCTGTTTATTATCTTATAATCTATTACAGTGTAGAAAACTTGAAAAAGCAGAAGATCAACACAGCAATAAAATTACAGTACTGTTAATTGTTATATTTATCGACTGTATTGAAAAAGAAATCAGAGACACAAGATGGCAGCCGCTGTGAGTGTGATCGGGTTCTATTGTCATGACAACCAACATTTACTCCCTTAAAACCAAATAATGATGGCAAAATAAAATGATAAAATGCTGAAATTCTCCTGCCAGCGGAACAATACAACAGGAAAACTGATCGAACCGTGGCAAATACAGTCAAAGAAAATGAGCAAATGACAAAAATGTTTCTACTATTAAAATATGTCAAATATTTGCAAACGGCAGTCAACTTTAACCCTCGCCCACACCTTAAAAGCCGAAAATAAAAATGTATGAGAATAATAATGCGCTTACCTTTGTGTTGTGCTTTACCTTTTAACTGAACTAGTATGTGTTTCGTTAAGTAGACATAACACTCTAGCACAGTCAAAACTGATTAATCGTTGATTCAAACCTTACATGAACGCAGCATAAACCCCAACAGCGCCAGCCGACTCTGCGTGGGCCTGTGTGTTAGCAGCGTCATGATGACTGATTTATGGAGTACATGCACACTTGAGCTTTGTTTATTAACCAATTAGCCCATAAAATTTGTATTTTACCCCAAACCAGCCCACATTTTGTCCACCCGCCCAAACCCATTTTCCTCCCCACAATCAAATCCAGACCCGCCCAATCTGGCAACACTGCTTCAGATACCCGGATGGGGGATGTCTTTCAGCGTTACTATTGACGACGGTTGTTATTGGGGAATGACACAACTAGCCAATCAGAATCAAGCATTCCAGAGAGCGCATTAGTTCCTCCCACTTTCTCAGAAGCATCTTAATTTTCCCATTCATTTCTCCCATAGGGATTTCAAAAAAGTCTTTGTTAAAGCGTTATAAGCCATGAACCAAACCAACCAGCTACGATACGAGGAGAACCATAACGGCTTTAGTGAAAGAGTATACCCACAACCGGCGCTACGTCATAGAATGTCTCTGAACAGATTCACGCCCACTTTTGGGGGAAATAAACTAGACTTCCCATAGACTTCAATACAAAATAGCGTCACAAAACAACGTCCGTACACAGCCGAACGGCGTGAATAACTTAAGAAATCATTAAGATTAAACATGTCAAGTAATTATATGTCCACCCTGTCTGCCATAGAGCGTAAAAGATACATACACAAACTTAATTTGGTCAATTTAAAAACATGTCCCTTCATTCGCCCAGCGTCAAATTGGTGTAACAACCCCACCCAGTGGGCAGAGGTGTCTTTCTTTTACTGTCTATGGTCTTACCCTGACATTTACTCGTATCGTACTTCATCGAGTCACCATATGGTAAGCCAGTGAATGATTTTACTTCGTTTTTGAAAGTAAACGTCTTTAAATGTATATATTTTGTCTTATAATATACATTATAATATATATAACCTCACTGGGTGGGGTTGTTACACCAATTTGACGCTGGGAAAATAAACAGACATGTTTTTAAATTGACCAAATTAAGTTTGTGTATGTATCTTTTACGCTCTATGGCAGGCAGGGTGAACATATAATTACTTGACATGTTTTATATAAGTGATTTCTTAAGTTATTTACTCCTGTCAGCTGTGTACGGACGTTGGTTTTTGCCGTTATGTTGTATTGAAGTCTATGGGAAGTCTAGTTTGTTTTCCCCCAAAAAGGGGCGGGGACGAAATTGACAGTTAAGTTCCCGGATGTGCCGGTTGTGCGTATATAAACAATATATTTTAAGTTTATTGCAAAATATATACAGTACATTAAAATATTGTGAAGGGAGACCGACGCGATTGTCATTGGCTGTGTTTCATGGGAGTGGGCGGAGCTAATGAGATCTTTAGGCGGGTTTCGCTTGTTTTGACTGTGATTGGAGTTCTCTGCACAGCATCATGGGTAACGTAGTTTTCCACCTCTGTTAAGCGATGTGAAACAATGTGGGCTGACGGCTTCAGCTGAAACAAATACAATCGGTTAACAATCAACCCCGTAGCTCACAGTGAAGCTGTCTTTAAAAGTTCACAAGTTACAGTTAAAAATCAGAGAAAAAGCATTGGGCTTTTACCGTCGCACTGTGTCATTCATCTGCTGTGTGTGGTGTGCTGAGCGCAGGAGTTCCTGGAGTACCGGAAGGAGAGGGGTCAGATGCTCCTGTCCCGCAGGAATCAGCTGCTGCTGGAGTTCAGCTTCTGGAACGAGCCCGTGCCCAGAGACGGACCCAACATCTACGAGCTGCGCTCCTACCAGCTGAGGGTGAGTGTGTGCCTCCCAGAGCGGGCCAGCAACCCATGTGCTCTACTTATCGTCTGGGCTACAGTTGAGCAGGGGTGTGTGTAACTCGCTGCTTCACTACCATAATCCAATGCATCGCTGAAGAAATCAACGAGCTCGTCACGACTGTTTCCTGAAACCATATTGTCGCAAAGTGGTCGTTCAGCCACGTTGGTTTACGCACTTGGTGGAGTAATTTTAACACTTATTTTAATAAAATTGTTTGAGATCAAATTAATGCTAGATGTTTTGATATAAATTACAGACATGTCATCTGAGGACTTTTTCAAATTTTTCTCAGTTATTTCGCTTTATTTCCAGATTCAATCATAGACTCGTTCTTACACACTATGCGCGTTCTCACATGCGCACTCTTCAAAAACGGTGCTTTAAATCTCTTGACAAACTCAAAGACGTAAATGACATTTGTATGTATTCTAGATAAAAGACACAGGTTGTGCTGAATGTCAGCTTGCTTATTTTGCTCAAGTTGAGGATTTATTGAGTCCACATGTCATGCAAACTAGAAACTCTTCTAACCACAGGACGAGAGCCGTCGCTCAAACACACACACCTCTGCGATGCTGTTTGCGAATGTTCGCTGGAACGATGGTTTCGGGAAACACCGACTCGTTGAACTGCTGATAACGACCAGCAGAGTTGGCTAACGATGCTTTCGGGAAACGCACCCCAGTTTAGCTCAAATCTAAGTAACGTTATCTCTGTAAACAGCAGTAGATGCATGTAAGGGTTTCTGAGTGATGACGGAAACATAAGCCCCTTTCACACACACAGTCTTGGCTGGTAGTTTACCGGTTAGAGATCATGTGTGAACAGGACCTTTTCAAAAATACCGGCGAATTACCAGTAAGGGAAGGTGTAACTTCACCAGTAAATCACCGGTAATGTGCTCTGTGTGAACACACAATGAAGATCACTGGCATCTGCGTGTACAAAGCCAGAGCGCGCCGCCGGAAGAAGTCTGCTTTGGGCCAATCATAAAGACTGTGATTACTCTGTGCTGTTTACAGTAAGCTTTTTAATCGTTTTTCAATTTAAATATGTGCTGATCATCTTTGACCGTTGAGCCGCGTCTCGCAGCTTTTTCAGCGTGTGGCGCTCGAGACCCGACCTTCTTTTCCAGTCATCAGCAAACAGCAAAACACGTTCTGTTTGATCATCCGTTAATGTCTTTCACTCGGACGTCAAACATGTCGTCAAATTGAACAGATAGTGAAACTAAAGCGTTTCTCATGCGAATGAATACAGACGAAAGATAATCTCCGGTGACTGACGTCACAGAATTGACCGGTGTTTTGCTGCTGGTGTGTGAATGGTCTCTTACCGGTAAAGAGCAGAACACATTTGTGTAGTTACCGGTAAAGTCATTCTGGTCATCTTACGGTACTTTACCGGGATTGCAGTGTGAAAGGGGCTATTGTTGAATCAGTGTGGAAATGATTCATTGAAAACAAACCGAACTTGTCAATCTGTCTTTAGACACGCTCTTCAGCTTGCGGTGTTCGTAATGTTGCTTTATTTTATATTGCAAGTCACTGTGAGTAAACTGTGTATGCTGTACATCATCGCCAGTCCTGGTTTAAGTCCTCAGCGTGTCCCGGATCGGGATGAGATGAGCTCGGCACTCAGATTTACAGTTGTCTGTTTTTGTTGTTGTCTTGCAGCCCGGGACCATGATTGAGTGGGGCAACTATTGGTAAGAATACGAGCAATCTGTTCCTCAAACATAACAGCCCTGTATCGCCTGTTATCTGTCTTTTATTGCCTTCTCCCTATCACATATCACAGTAATCTTCATAATTAGGTATCATTAAACACTCAGAATTCATCCTGTGAAAACCGTTTTGAAATTGGACATCGAGTTAATATGGAAAAAGTACTTTAAATCCTTTTACATTAATGACATGTAAAGCGCACACAAGTCATTGAGATGAAGTGTTTATGTGCACACACTGGTGTAATACACAGCTTTATTGAATCCTGCAGACCATGTGATGTGCTAAACTCAAACATGGGACTGTCTTCTGAAATCAAAAGCACTCCCCGGGATTCTTGAAGTCATAATTACGATGTAATGTGCATTATATGATGCTTTATGCTGCTGCATAGGATTATGGGAAATGTAGTTTTGTCACTTGGTAAACAGCTGAATGAGTCACATTTTCTGGCAAGCTTTTGTCTCTATTCTTTACCACTTTCTCATAATAAATGTTAATGTTAGCATTCACAATAACATATGATCAATACTAATAATCCAGGAATGGTCTGTCCACTAGGGGACTGTTTACATCAAGAGTCTGAATGCATCCTGAAGGGAAACTGACTTTAGGACCCAGCGGAACCGCTCATGTGCTCCATATAGAGCTATAAGGCCATCTAGAGTCATGAAATATCATGTTATATTATTATGTTTCCACAAGAGGTCGGCAAAGACCACCGTAAGATATTTTGAGCTGAATTAAAAGGTTAATGCATGAAATTGTGAGTTATTTTGAATTGAAGTTGAAAGAGTGTGAGAAATGTACTTAAATAAACAGAAGTGGTCTGATGATGTCCCTGTTCCTCAGGGCGCGAGCTATCGGCTACCGGCAGCACAACCGCGAGGCCGTCGGCGGCTTCTTCTCTCAGATCGGAAGCCTCTATATGGTCCACCATCTCTGGGGTACGAGTGTGCACATATGGCTCCCGGAGCACGGATGCTGATGGACTGTTGGGTTGTGATCTTCATGCTCATTTCTGTGGTGTGTGTGTGTGTTGCAGCGTACAAGGACCTGCAGTCCCGAGAGGACACGAGGAACGCCGCCTGGCAGCACGAGGGCTGGGATGAAGTCGTCTATTACACCGGTACACACGCCGCTACACCTGACATCGGTGCACTGCATTACAGTTCTGGGTCCCACTTTATGTTAAGTGACTTAAGTATTATGTACTTATTTTTCGATACAAGTACATATGTATTTATTGTGTTGATGTTGTATTGTAAAACACTTTTGCTGCTATTGAGGTGTGACACGGGTCAGGTTAGAGACAGGTGTGTGTGGTATGGGTAGGTTTTAAGGTATTACAATGTAAAAACATGAATGTGTACACAATAAGTCCATTGTATCAAATTATTAATTTCAATGTAAGAACAGTACTTAAAGCCACTTAATATAAAGTGGGACCCATTTTTGCCATGCATTTTATGTTTTTTTTTTTTTTTTTTTATGACGTTTTCTCTGGTCTGCTGTGTACTATACTAGTCATTTAAAGTGCCCCATATTATGCGATTTTAAAGGTTCCAAATGATTTTTGTTTTACATGCATCCAAGGTCACAAAACACTTTCATTTTCTTGTAGTATACATTGCAGCATCACCTCTTTTCTCGAAGAGTCTGAAAACGGTTCGTTCAAAGATTCAGTCTCTCTAAACCCCTCCTCTACGAGAGATTGGTCTACTCTGCTCTGATTGGTCAAATGGCCCAGTCTGTTGTGATTGGTCTGCTCTGCTCTGATTGGTCAGATGGCCCAGTCTGCTGTGATCGGTCTACTCTGCTCAAGTGCAGCAAAGTTGATTCGCAGCACAGAAAATGGTGTCTTCTCTACAACTACAGTGTTTGAGGGCAGCATTATGCTAGTTTGTTACATTGTTTCATAGGTTTGTAACAGGAAGTGAGACTGAAATTTCTGACAACTCGTTTCAGAAGTTCAGAATCGATCCTTTCTTTTAGGAGACAATGTTATCTGCACTTTGAAATTTTGCAGACTTGTTACATTCACAAACAGCTCTATTACACACTACATGAAAGGAAATATCTAAAACAGCATAATAGGGGCACTTTAAGTAATTTTTTGACTTGGCATGCATTTTTATTGAATAGAAAAGAGCAGCTTTTACGTCTTGATATCTCCTTTTGTGTTCTGGAGGCAACTTTTGCTATTCTAAGACACCATGAAAGTAACATTTAGTGTCAATATTCTATTTTGAACTAATGTTGTTTTCATTTTATTGTTGCTGAAGTCTAGCGTCAAGCTTACAGCTGACTGGTCCATTATAATGTGGCACTAAATTATTGTGTACAACATGTCACCAGTCGCATCTTCTGCTATGTGGTAAAACCCGCCTCTGAATCTGTTTCCAGTGCCCCTCATTCAGCACATGGAGTCCAGGATAATGATCCCACTGAAAGGGTCTCCGATGCAGTAATGAATCCAACAGATCCTCACTGTTACGTCCCCGTGAGCTGAAGCCCAGACCAAGACATCGGATACATTCTCTGTCGTCATGATGCCAACCAACTTCACACGCAACGCACTCGTTCTGATCTGAAAAACTGTCCAAAAGTTGCACCGGCAAACCAAATTGAATCAGTGGAAATGAAGCCTGTTACTGTACTAAGTTTTGAGAATACTTCACATGATGTATTGCATTAGCCATATCTAAAATCTGGTTGTCACATGGCTTGGAAAAACACAACCATAGATCTGTTAAATAAAGTTTGTTGCTATATGAAAGAAGGGCTGTAAAGTGCATTGAATCACCATAAACATTAGCAGTTTTGAGCATTAACCCTTTCCAGTGTGGTGCCCAATAAATCTTTGATTTGCAGTATTTCAAAACAAACAGCATGTATGAATGCATTAGTGGATGAATTGAATATTGTCAGAAAACATTTACTGTTCACCCTGCTGAGAAAACACTTTAAACTCGCTCGAATGCTGCAATCTATTCATGTACTTATTGCATATTTATTTGGTGTTAATGTAAACCCCCACATGGAGAGGATTCCAGGTTTTAATAGCGCATTATGACAAGCACAGCAGAATCTATCCGACATATTCAGAGAAAACCCCAGGTCAGGAATCGACATATCAAATGCTCCGCTAAAACAGTCCAACACGGATTGATCTGGGACTGGAAAAGCCTAACTGGGGACAGGTTGTGTGCAAAATTAAAAACTTTTTAGAACGCATTTTATTCAGTTGCTGTATTTTATTTGTGTTCTGTTTCTACATAGACATGCTTTTTACATGCCTTTTTGTGTTGTGAAATGTCTCCAGATCTGCTCTGATCAGCAGCTCGCAGACAGAGCGGTTTCTAGATTGATTTTGTTTTCTGTGCGCATGCGCAATCTACTGTACGCTGATTATTCTGGGATTTAACAGCACAAAATATTTTAAATCAACTAAACACTGTATTCAATAAATCATAAATGATCATCCATGTTGTGTCATGTTCACACAGATGAAAGACGGCCGACGGCTGTCACTTTGTTTAATTAGCTGTTGACCATTATTATAAGTGTTCTCTTGCAAGTATGGATACAGACACGGACAGTTATTAGTGTTAACATAATCAGTTTCATCACAGAAAACTGACCTCTTGCAGTATGCTCTATTTAAACAACCATTTCAGTAAACTAAAACATATCGATATTAAAAACTAGGAAAGGCACAAAGATGGTGCTAACTCAGGTGTGTGTGCGCTCCATCCACACTAGATCTTCTCCAGCTCTTTCAGCAGCTCTCCGAAGCTCGTGACGTACCACGAGGACTTCTCCTTCACCTGCTGCCGCACCACGTTCCCACCGAACCCGATGAAAGCGCTCTGAAAAGACATGAGCGCAGGGCAACTTAACCTACGACCCCAAGACCAGGCACATTCAAGGCTTTTCAAGAAATCAAAATGAATACTGTATATCAGGGGTGTGCAATCTTGACCAAAAAAATGTTTATCTCGATATTTTCAAAGTCTTGTTGATGATAAATGTGTTGTTGTGTGGGTACAGTGGCTGGTTTAGGCTGGTTGTGAACAGCTGACTCACAAAGACATTCATATTATTCATAATCTATGCGCTGGTCAGTTCACAGCAGTGACAGAAATATTTGCCACCTTGAAATGATTTCCAGGGGCGTTTTTACCAATATGAGGGCATTTTCTCTAAACGTATTAGATGTATGTATCACCTTTTATGTCAAATTCTAACATTCAAATTAACTTCTATTAGAATAATAACAGTATAGGGCTGTTACCAGTCAAATTAAAGGTGCACTATGCAGGAATTCCGTTTTTGTCAAACAGCGACCCCTAGAGTCGCTGTGGAGTACTTGTACTGTCGTGAATAGCACTCATGCAGAGATGGCTCGCACTCACGGCCGGATCCCCTCCCCCTGTGCACCGGTACCTGTTCAGTAGGATGGACGCTGTAACGAGTGGAAATAAGGTGTGGCCCCTTTAAGAGCTGCGCGCCCTGTGTTATTTCTGTTTGATGCTTATTTTATCAGAATTTTATCAGATCTGTTTTTTGCCGTAAAGCAATTCGTTACATCGCGAGACCTGATATCACGCGACACTTCCTGATGCTGCGGCCGACGGGCCGCCGGCTCAAAGTTGTAAGTGTGTTTTTTCCGCTCACATGCGATAGGGGGGTGCGAAACGACCACCAGTCAACCCGAAAAGAGTAATATAACCATTCCAATGACTCCGAAGCTGTTCGGTTGAGGTAAAAAACCTGCATAGTTCACCTTTAAATAATTATCAACAAAATCCATCTTTGCAGTGTAGAGGTGATACATTCATATATTTAGACTGCGTTAAAAATTACATAAAATATTGAAAAATTATATAAATAATAATAATAAAAAAAATAATAATCTCATAGCATTAAGTAATGATTCAAAATTTGAACATTTTAATTAAAGGGTACTTTAAATGTGAAACTAAAACCGCCAGTAGGTGACAAGTCACGCTCTTAATAAGTGAGATGAGGGAGTCACTCATTCAACCGATTTGTTCAAACGGCTGATTCATTCAGGAAAGACAAGTGCTGGGCCATTGAATCATTAATTAAACCGATTCACTTTAGCGAGCAAGAGGCGAATTAATAATAAGCTTTGTTGAAATGGAAAAGGTTCTACATGAGGAGTCGACTCCCAAGGCCTCAGAAAAATAAGGCTTTTTAAGACTAATATATATATATATTAGTCCAACTATATACTAGTCCAACTTTTACTCCTCTCCATCTGGCCATGATCCGTTAGAAGCGGATCCTTAAAGTCTTAAATTAGATCTTTGAAATTTTAAGGCCATATATATATATACACTCACCGGCCACTTTATTAGGTACACCTGTCCAACTGCTCGTTAACACTTAATTTCTAAGCAGCCAATCACATGGCAGCAACTCAGTGCATTTAGGCATGTAGACATGGTCAAGACAATCTCCTGCAGTTCAAACCAAGCATCAGTATGGGGAAGAAAGTTGATTTGAGTGACTTTGAACGTGGCATGATTGTTGGTGCCAGAAGGGCTGGTCTGAGTATTTCAGAAACTGCTAATCTACTGGGATTTTCACGCACGACCATCTCTAGGGTTTACAGAGAATGGTCCGAAAAAGAAAAAACATCCAGTGAGCGGCCGTTCTGTGGGCGGAAATGCCTTGTTGATGCCAGAGGTCAGAGGAGAATGGCCAGACTGGTTCGAGCTGATAGAAGGGCAACAGTGACTGAAATAACCACTCGTTACAACCGAGGTATGCAGCAAAGCATTTGTGAAGCCACAACACGCACAACCTTGAGGCGGATGGGCTACAACAGCAGAAGAGTCCACCGGGTACCACTCATCTCCACTACAAATAGGAAAAAGAGGCTACAATTTGCAAGAGCTCACCAAAATTGAACAGTTGAAGACTGGAAAAATGTTGCCTGGTCTGATGAGTCTCGATTTCTGTTGAGACATTCAGATGTTAGAGTCAGAATTTGGCGTAAACAGAATGAGAACATGGAACCATCATGCCTTGTTACCACTGTGCAGACTGGTGGTGGTGGTGTAATGGTGTGGGGGATGTTTTCCTGGCACACTTTAGGCCCCTTAGTGCCAATTGGGCATCGTTTAAATGCCACGGCCTACCTGAGCATTGTTTCTGACCATGTCCATCCCTTTATGGCCACCATGTACCCATCCTCTGATGGCTACTTCCACCATGTCACAAAGCTCTAATCATTTCAAATTGGTTTCTTGAACATGACAATGAGTTCACTGTACTAAAATGGCCTCCACAGTCACCAGATCTCAACCCAATAGAGCATCTTTGGGATGTGGTGGAACGGGAGATTCGCATCATGGATGTGCAGCCGACAAATCTGCGGCAACTGTGTGATGCCATCATGTCAATATGGACCAAACTCCCTGAGGAATGCTTCCAGCACCTTGTTGAATCTATGCCACGAAGAATTGAGGCAGTTCTGAAGGCAAAAGGGGGTCCAACCCGTTACTAGCATGGGGTACCTAATTAAGTGGCCGGTGAGTGTATTTTAAGACTTTAAGGATCCGCTTCTAACGGATCATGGCCAGATGGAGAGGAGTAAAAGTTGGACTAGTAATGCACAGAAGACGTCCCCCTCACTGATACACTGATACCGACTGTAAATAGTGTAGCTTGTCTATTAGTCAGGCCCACAAATCATGCAGGTCAAGGTTCACTCGGGTCTATATTAGGGCGGCACGATTAATCACAATTTACATGATATCACACTTAAACCGATTTGGCTTGTCGCGATTTTGAAATTGCAAAGGCTGCGATTAGTTTTTATGCGCAGTTTGTCAATGATGTACGGCTCTGTAAACGCTGCTCATCTGAAAGCACTGTGAGTTTGAGTGTTGAAAAAGCAACACGCGTCAAACATCTTTCCAAACATGAGAAGCATTTATGAACCACTTGTCCAACAAAAGACAACTTTTAATAACATGCTTTTACTCCAAACTCACTTCATAACGACAGCTAAGCTCATCCTTCTGTGAGACGATGTGCTTCCTAAACAGAATAAGGCAGTCGTGTGTTTATTAGTCATGATTAATCAATCAAAATCTCGATGATGGATTACCTGTAATGATGTGTGTTATCGTACTTCTGTGGCGGGGCATATTTGGTGTGTGTGAGACGCACTCTGGTGTTCAGATGGAGCAGCATTTACAGCACTGCACTGACAAGCTGTGCATAACAGAATCGCAGCCTCTGCCAGATCGACTCGTTGAGCCCTGGTCTCTCTGGGGAACTCACCGCAGGAGGACAGGCCTCCAGATCAGTGGCTCCGTCTCCGATCATCACCACCGTCTCGAAGCCGTGCTGCTCCTTCAGCCTGCGGATCACCGTGCCCTTCCCCCCCGACTGCGCCGTGGGCTGGGCCTCGTCGAACCCGGCGTACTCGCCTGGCGGAGCACAACACACACACCTCGTCACTCACTCGCCTGGCGGAGCACAACACACACACACACACACCTCGTCACTCACTCGCCTGGCGGAGCACAACACACACACACACCTCGTCACTCACTCGCCTGGCGGAGCACAACACACACACCTCGTCACTCACTCGCCTGGCGGAGCACAACACACACACACACACACCTCGTCACTCACTCGCCTGGCGGAGCACAACACACACACCTCGTCACTCACTCGCCTGGCGGAGCACAACACACACACACACACACCTCGTCACTCACTCGCCTGGCGGAGCACAACACACACACCTCGTCACTCACTCGCCTGGCGGAGCACAACACACACACACACACACCTCGTCACTCACTCGCCTGGCGGAGCACAACACACACACCTCGTCACTCACTCGCCTGGCGGAGCACAACACACACACACACACACCTCGTCACTCACTCGCCTGGCGGAGCACAACACACACACCTCGTCACTCACTCGCCTGGCGGAGCACAACACACACACACACACACCTCGTCACTCACTCGCCTGGCGGAGCACAACACACACACCTCGTCACTCACTCGCCTGGCGGAGCACAACACACACACACACACACCTCGTCACTCACTCGCCTGGCGGAGCACAACACACACACCTCGTCACTCACTCGCCTGGCGGAGCACAACACACACACCTCGTCACTCACTCGCCTGGCGGAGCACAACACACACACCTCGTCACTCACTCGCCTGGCGGAGCACAACACACACACCTCGTCACTCACTCGCCTGGCGGAGCACAACACACACACCTCGTCACTCACTCGCCTGGCGGAGCACAACACACACACCTCGTCACTCACTCGCCTGGCGGAGCACAACACACACACCTCGTTACTCACTCGCCTGGCGGAGCACAACACACACACCTCGTCACTCACTCGCCTGGCGGAGCACAACACACACACCTAGTCACTCACTCGCCTGGCGGAGCACAACACACACACCTCGTCACTCACTCGCCTGGCGGAGCACAACACACACACCTCGTCACTCACTCGCCTGGCGGAGCACAACACACACACCTCGTCACTCACTCGCCTGGCGGAGCACAACACACACACACACACACACACACACACACACACACACACACACACACACCTCGTCACTCACTCGCCTGGCGGAGCACAACACACACACACACACCTCGTCACTCACTCGCCTGGCGGAGCACAACACACACACACACACCTCGTCACTCATTTGCCTGGCGGAGCACAACACACACACCTCGTCACTCACTCGCCTGGCGGAGCACAACACACACACACCTCGTCACTCACTCGCCTGGCGGAGCACAACACACACACCTCGTCACTCACTCGCCTGGCGGAGCACAACACACACACCTCGTCACTCACTCGCCTGGCGGAGCACAACACACACACCTCGTCACTCACTCGCCTGGCGGAGCACAACACACACACCTCGTCACTCACTCGCCTGGCGGAGCACAACACACACACCTCGTCACTCACTCGCCTGGCGGAGCACAACACACACACCTCGTCACTCACTCGCCTGGCGGAGCACAACACACACACCTCGTCACTCACTCGCCTGGCGGAGCACAACACACACACCTCGTCACTCACTCGCCTGGCGGAGCACAACACACACACACACACACCTCGTCACTCACTCGCCTGGCGGAGCACAACACACACACCTCGTCACTCACTCGCCTGGCGGAGCACAACACACACACCTCGTCACTCACTCGCCTAGCGGAGCACAACACACACACACACCTCGTCACTCACTCGCCTGGCGGAGCACAACACACACACACACCTCGTCACTCACTCGCCTGGCGGAGCACAACACACACACCTCGTCACTCACTCGCCTGGCGGAGCACAACACACACACACACACACACACACACACACACCTCGTCACTCACTCGCCTGGCGGAGCACAACACACACACACACACCTCGTCACTCACTCGCCTGGCGGAGCACAACACACACACCTCGTCACTCACTCGCCTGGCGGAGCACAACACACACACACACCTCGTCACTCACTCGCCTGGCGGAGCACAACACACACACACACACACACACACACCTCGTCACTCACTCGCCTGGCGGAGCACAACACACACACACACCTCGTCACTCACTCGCCTGGCGGAGCACAACACACACACCTCGTCACTCACTTGCCTGGCGGAGCACAACACACACACCTCGTCACTCACTCGCCTGGCGGAGCACAACACACACACACACCTCGTCACTCACTCGCCTGGCGGAGCACAACACACACACACACCTCGTCACTCACTCGCCTGGCGGAGCACAACACACACACCTCGTCACTCACTCGCCTGGCGGAGCACAACACACACACACACCTCGTCACTCACTCGCCTGGCGGAGCACAACACACACACACACACACCTCGTCACTCACTCGCCTGGCGGAGCACAACACACACACACACCTCGTCACTCACTCGCCTGGCGGAGCACAACACACACACCTCGTCACTCACTCGCCTGGCGGAGCACAACACACACACCTCGTCACTCACTCGCCTGGCGGAGCACAACACACACACACACACCTCGTCACTCACTCACAACACACACGCCTCGTCGTCAGTCACTCAACGCACACGCCTCGTCAGTCACTCAACGCACACGCCTCATCAGTCACTCAACGCACACGCCTCGTCAGTCACTCAACACACACGCCTCGTCAGTCACTCAACGCACACGCCTCATCAGTCACTCAACACACACGCCTCGTCAGTCACTCAACGCACACGCCTCGTCAGTCACTCAACACACACGCCTCGTCAGTCACTCAACACACACGCCTCGTCAGTCACTCAACACACACGCCTCGTCAGTCACTCAACACACACGCCTCGTCAGTCACTCGTCAGTCACTCAACACACACGCCTCGTCAGTCACTCAACACACACGCCTCGTCAGTCACTCAACACACACGCCTCGTCAGTCACTCGTCAGTCACTCAACACACACGCCTCGTCAGTCACTCAACGCACACGCCTCATCAGTCACTCAACACACACGCCTCGTCAGTCACTCAACGCACACGCCTCATCAGTCACTCGTCAGTCACTCAACACACACGCCTCATCAGTCACTCAACACACACGCCTCGTCAGTCACTCAACGCACACGCCTCGTCAGTCACTCAACGCACACGCCTCATCAGTCACTCAACACACACGCCTCGTCAGTCACTCAACGCACACGCCTCGTCAGTCACTCAACACACACGCCTCGTCAGTCACTCAACGCACACGCCTCATCAGTCACTCGTCAGTCACTCAACGCACACGCCTCATCAGTCACTCAACACACACGCCTCGTCAGTCACTCAACACACACGCCTCGTCAGTCACTCAACGCACACGCCTCGTCAGTCACTCGTCAGTCACTCAACACACACGCCTCATCAGTCACTCAACACACACGCCTCGTCAGTCACTCAACACACACGCCTCGTCAGTCACTCAACGCACACGCCTCATCAGTCACTCAACACACACGCCTCGTCAGTCACTCAACGCACACGCCTCATCAGTCACTCAACACACACGCCTCGTCAGTCACTCAACACACACGCCTCGTCAGTCACTCAACACACACGCCTCGTCAGTCACTCAACACACACGCCTCGTCAGTCACAGGCTACGTTTACATGCACAACTTTTGTTTCAATCGGACCAAATTCATTCCGATTGGTGAATCTGAACGTAGTGTTTACATGAACACTAAACATGTGATCGGGTTGATATGTCACAAGCTTCAAATTGGATCATTTTTGACATGCGCACACTGCACGAATATACAGAGTTTCCCGCTGTTTGCCCATAGTAACCATTCTCCTACATTGGTTCTTTGTTTTAAACAGCAGACTTAATATTTATCCATTTCTGGTCATAATTTGGAGACGATGAGCATAAGAACCGTTGTGCCGCTGCTTATATTTATCAAGCAGTAAAAATGCCCAAAACCAGTGGTCTGTGGATGAGAGTCTGAAACGAGCACTGGTGGGCCGCTGTCCTGCTCCACTTCACAGACGGAGTGAAAGGAGGATTATAGAATAACGGGACGCTCATTTATACGACACTTTATTCATCAGAAAGAACGGCTCGTTCGGTGCGTCATTACGCTATTTCTACATCAGTGCACATGTGCAGTCCTTTCAGTTTCGGTTTTCAATCCGATCAAGTTTTTACATGTTCCTTCGATCGCATTAGAAAAGGAATAACCCACTCCTTTCAATCCGATCAAATCTCATTGGGATCGAGCGTGTTTACATGAAGGCTTTTCAGTCCGACCGAGCCGTCAATCAGCGGATTATTCGGTTGCATGTAAACGCAGCGCCAGCGGCCCCATGAGCCAGTGCCAGGAGACGCCTCTCACCGTTGAAGTAAAACTTCAGGCGGTTTGCGTAGACGTGGTCCAGGGGAATGTGGAGCTGCGACGCCACGTGTTCGACAATGCAGCGGAAGCCGCCGGAGATGAGGAAGACCTTCACGCCGCGCTGATGAAGACGCTCCACCAGCTCCCTGAGGACACACACACACCGCGTCAGCACATCTGCACACACGAGCGCGGTCAACCTGGCACACGCAGCGACACACTGGCCACATGCACTTCAGTGTACTTCATTTCACTGTAAATAGCATATAATGTGTAGTGTATATTATGTAGTCTATAGAGTGTAGTCTATATACTGTGTAAAGTGTATGGCGTGTAGTGCATAGTTTATAGTATATATACTGTGTATATAGTGTAGTGTATACTGTATAGGGTAGTCTACATTGTTGAAAGCGCTATATAAATGAGGATGACTAGTGTGTGTATAGGGTGTAAAGTGTAGTGTAAATGTATAAAAAAGTGTGTATAGTGTATATACTGTAGTGTGTATATAGTGTAGAAAGTGTATAGTGTAAATACTCTGTATAGTGTGTATACATAGGGTGTAAAGTGTAGAGTAAATGTATAAAAAGTATATAGTGTATCTACTAGTGTATAGGTTGTAAAGTCTGTTTATTGTGAATGTATAAAAGTGTGTTTAGAGTGTAGTCTATATACTGTGACTATGTATAGTGTAGTTTGTATAAATATTGTTTGTAGTGTATATAGCAAAAGTAACTTTATTAATAGTGTAGTGTAAACGTGTATATTGTATAGTTTTTTATAGTGTATATAAAGTGTATAGTTTTACAGTGTATATCCTATTAGTTTCGTTGGAAACCTTAGTTACTGGTGCCATATACTATTTTTTAATAAAAAAAATAGTATCAATAATATTGTTACCTTTTTTGTATGTGTATTGTTTTGTTACTTTGACAAGTCCTTGTAAAACAATCAAGTCACTAAAGTTAAGATCTGAAAAGCTCAGCACACACACACGGGGCGGATGGGACTCACCTGACCCCCGGCGTGAGCTGCGGCGGGTGGTCCGTCAGCAGTTTGTTGACCTGTTCCCTCGAGCACTTGATGATGGACAGACGCTCACTCAGAGCTGTGTGGAACGAGACGGAGCCGCCCATGGCACTCCGGGTCCTGCGGACACACACAACCACAGGGGTGCGCTCTCAAACTCAGTGCTGTGCGTGTTTGCGCACTGGCTAGGGTGCATGTGTGTGTGTGTGTACTGTTGCCTTGTCCAAATACCATTCTCAAGTAAGCAAGACTATTCCATGTCTTAAAGATGCCAAAGTGCAGTGCCCTTAAAGCACACTAAACATTATCTCTAGGCTAAGCGTATCCCATAATGCATTATGTTCGGGAACTCATGTGCCCCGAAATCACAAGATGTAATTTAAATTAATTACATGCATTTAATTTGGTAGTAAAAACATAAAGTGTTGCACATTTTATTGGTGCAAATATGAGTATGGTGTGTGTAGGCCTATTCTGTACAACATTTGCAACTGTTATTATCACTTAATAATTTAGAAGCACCACGATTTTAAATGTGTGTCTTCTGTTAGTTACACAGCGACTACTGAACAGACATGTAGAGGTTTATTCTAAAATGCAAAGTATTGAAAATATAAGAAATAAAAGCTCTGTAAACACTTGCATTTGTTTTGTGTGTTACTGTTAAGTGTGTCCCATCGAGTAATCAAGATCTACACACACTTTTGCAGTCTTCACGCCTACTTGAACACTTGGGCCAAATAGAGGAAATACGTCATGCAAGTAGACAAGTGGTCAAGAGCAAAGACCCCAATGTGCGTTTTTTGGACATGGCGTGTGTGTGTGTACTGACATCTCCGTGACCGCGTCCCCGACGCCGCAGAACTTCGCGAGCTCGTCGATGCCCTCCTCGCGGATCACGGTGCTGTCCACGTCAAAGCACACGGCCTGCGCGCGCCGGAAGAGCTCCTGCGCGTGAGTCGCCGTTGTCATGGTGATGCCTGGACGACAGGAAACAAACAGGCAGTCGTGGTGACGCCACTACAACAACAGCTAGTAAACATCAGCAAGAACCGCTGAACCTCGACACAACACGAGCCTGGGTGCCAAGTGCGCGTTTAGTATGCAGCAGCACTCGCGCTCGTTTGCACAACAGGCGCAGTGAAGCATTACATGCACGCATTCATTCGTCTGGACAAACACACAGTTGTTGCATCAGCTGGTTTGATGCGCGAGCCGCCACCGGGAAACACGAAACCACATACGTGTATAAACTACACAAAACAAGAATTTGAAGAACACATTCAGAATTAAGATAATATCGTACACTTACCACCAAAAATAAAAAACAAGACACTTGACACGTTACGAGCATTGCGACTTCGCTGCCTTCACACTGTTGTAGCTGCGGCTTACCTTGATGCGCGCGGGTGAGATTCCTCTGCTGACTGTCACGAGCTCGAGCTCGTTCAAATCTCCGGCAAACTGTCTCTGTGCGGCAGCGCGTGCGCGCAGTCATCTGCCATTCATTACTACTGAGCTCACGGACGGAGTCGGCCAATCAGACCACACTCATGTCATTCACACACTACTCTGATTGGTCAGTTGACGAAACAGGTCAAGCGAATACTCATTCAGACAAACAAAACCACAAAATAATAATATAGTACGGTAGTAATGATGTCATAAAAACAACACGTATATCAATATCATTCCTAAATAATGTCTTTTTAAAACGTTTGGTCTGCCAACTGAGTAAAACTAAATGCATATCAAATAATAAACGTAAAAAAATTAAGATTCATTAATTTAAAAATACTACTTTAAGGGACTTTAACTTAAAAAAAAAAAACATAAATAAAAACGACTTACTCAACCTTGTCTGTATGTTTTTTCTTACCTAATTTCTAATTTGGTGGAAAGCACATCACACACACGCATACAGTATATACAGTATGAGAGGATGCATGTCCAAACTTGCACTGGGCCTCACCCCATGCGTGGGACACGTTACCCTCATGACGGGCTGGATGGAATGAGGATCACCCAGTCATTTGTCTCACTCTGCACTGTCACAATATACAATTCAAAGACCTTTAGAGAACTACAGACCTCACCCGACCTGGTATCTGTGCAAAACAGACCTGTTATTCCAGCTCTTCCTCGTTACCCTCCTCATTTCCTGTAGATTCTCTAGGTGTTCCCGGGCTCTGTCCATTCAAGGGTAATAATTTAATTAATGTTCAACAAATAAAAGCAGATATAATACTGATGAATTTTAGATCCCTTTCAACAAAATCACTCTTTGTAATTGATATGATTACAGATCATAACCTAGATGTGCTGTGTTTGACAGAAACCTGGTGGAGGTAGTGGTTTCTGAATGTGTAAGGTTACAATTTTTCATTGCAAATGCTACAGATAAAAAAAGAAGAAAAAATGTTAACATTGGCCTTATGGTAATGACGAGGAGCCATCGAGGATCTTACAGGTTACATAACAACCCTGCTAGTTTTTAATGTATCAAGTTTAAATTTTATATGTCTATGTGGTGTTTTTAATACGCTTTAAGACAAGCCATGTGTAAATTCATAAGTCGACAGCATTGCTGAGTATTTTCTGCTTAAAACTGCAGTGAACCAAAGACAGTCTCAAACACACGGTTTGAAATCGCTGGCGTTTCTGACGTCACAAACGACCTTGTAACCAATCAGATCAACGTGTGATCGTCAACCAGTGGATCTCTGAGCTGAGTGAGTGGAGGAACTCTAACGGCTCCGAGTTTACGTAGGCATTTGAGAATTCATAAATATTGTTGTTATACAAATTAAGAGTATTTATGAATGGTTGGTGTGATGAATGTTACATTTCCATAGTCTATTGTGTGAATATCTAAATAAATGAAGAGTGTTGAGAAGCGGCTGAGGCACTGTCATTTTGTTTATTAGACTTTATTAACCTCAGGAATGTTTGCTAGCAGCCGCGCGCGGGAAAGACAGCGCACGAGAGGAGACCTCCACAATTACTACAATAAGACCACATTAAGAGCACTTTAATTTATAGATAACCAAATCAAAATGTATTTTCATATTCAATGACACTTACACAGTACAGCTTCAAATATGTTTATAAACAATTAAGGTAGTCTATGTAATAAACTAATACATTTTGATTATTTTTTATTAGAGACATACGGTTTTGTATACATACAATATTTATGTGTTATATCATAATCTGGCCGACCCTGTTGTTGCCTTTCTTTGATGACGTTGCAGGATATTCCAAACGAGTGATTATTGTCAGCGAAGTCCACTTCAACTGATGTAGCGTGTTCAGGGAGTGTGTGTGTGTGTAGGGAGCAGTGAACACTGCGTAGGGACCCTGTCGAGTGGATCATGCAGTATTCCCTCCACAGAAGCATGATGGGATATTTTCCCTCACTGATGATTTGTTTAAGAGCTCCCCATTAATTTCACAATGATGTGTAAATAAAAGAGTCTTATTTGGGATCGGGACAGTGTGTGCGGTGTCCAATCATGGTACATTACCGTTTTTCCCAATTACGCCACCAATCGCTTTCAGCAATATTCACAACTAGAAAAAGTTCGTCGAGACAAACTTTAAGTTGGCTTGTGAAAGTTTGGACCGCAAAGTTTGAAGAAGTTTAAAGTAGTTTGAAGTTTAAATTAGTTTAAAGTTTAATTAGTTTGAAGTAGTTTATAGTTTAACTTAGTTTAAAGTTTAAAGTAGTTTAAAGTAGTTTAAAGTAGTTTAAAGTAGTTTAAAGTAGTTTAAAGTAGTTTAAAGTAGTTTAAAGTAGTTTAAAGTAGTTTATAGTTTAAAGTAGTTTAAAGTTTAACTTAGTTTAAAGTTTAAAGTAGTTTAAAGTTTAAATTAGTTTAAAGTTTAAATTAGTTTGAATTTTAAAGTAGTTTGAAGTTTAAATTAGGTTGAAAGTTAAAGTAGTTTAAAGTTTAAATAAGTTTGAATTTTAAAATAGTTTGAAGTAGTTTAAAGTTTTAAATAGTTTAAAGTTAAAAGTAGTTTAAAGGTTAAAGTATAGTTTCAAGTAATTAAATGTTGCTAGAGTGTTTCTAGTGGGTTGCTAAGGTGTTGTGGGTGGTTGCTAGGTGGTTGCTAAGGTATTTTGAGTGGTTGCTAGGGTGTTCTGGGTGGTTGCTAGGTGGTTGCTAAGGTATTTTGGGTGGTTGCTAGGGTGTTAAGGATGGTTGCTAGGGGGTTGCTCAGGTATTTTGGTTGGTTGCTATGGTGTTCTGGGTGGTTGCTAAGGGGTTGCTAAGGAATTTTGGGTGGTTGCTAGGGTGTTCTGGGTGGTTACTAGGGTGTTCTAAGGTATTTTGGGTGGTTGCTATGGTGTTGCTAGGGTGTTCTAATGTATTTTGGGGAGTTGCTAGGGTGTTGCTAGGGTGTTCTTATGTATTTTGGGTGGTTGCTAGGGTGTTCTGGGTGGTTGCTAGGTGGTTGCTAGGGTGTTCTAAGGTGTTTTGGGTGGTTGCTATGGTGTTCTGGGTGGTTGCTAGGGTGTTCTAAGGTATTTTGGGTGGTTGCTAGGGTGTTAAGGATGGTTGCTAGGGGGTTGCTACGGTATTTTGGTTGGTTGCTAGGGTGTTCTGGGTTGTTGCTAAAGTATTTTGGGTGGTTGCTAGGGTGTTCTAAGGTATTTTGGGTGGTTGCTAGGGTGTTCTAGGTGGTTGCTAGGGTGTTCTAGGGTATTTTAGGTGGTTGCTAGGGTGTTCTAAGGTATTTTGGGGAGTTGCTAGGGTGTTGCTAGGGTGTTCTTTTGTATTTTGGGTGGTTGCTAGGGTGTTCTGGGTGGTTGCTAGGGTGTTCTAAGGTATTTTGTGTGGTTGCTAGGGTGTTCTAAGGTGTTTTGGGTGGTTGCTAGGGTGTTCTGGGTGGTTGCTAGGGTGTTCTACGGTATTTTGGGTGGTTGCTAGGGTGTTGCTAGGGTGTTCTAAGGTATTTTGGGGAGTTGCAAGGGTGTTGCTAGGGTGTTCTAAGGTATTTTGGGTGGTTGCTAGAGTGTTCTGGGTGGTTACTAGGGTGTTCTAAGGTATTTTGGGTGGTTGCTAGGGTGTTGCTAGGGTGTTCTAAGGTATTTTGGGGAGTTGCAAGGGTGTTGCTAGGGTGTTCTAAGGTATTTTGGGTGGTTGCTAGAGTGTTCTGGGTGGTTACTAGGGTGTTCTAAGGTATTTTGGGGTGTTGCTAGGGTGTTCTAAGGCATTTTGGGTGGTTGCTAGGGTGTTGCTAGGGTGTTCTAAGGTATTTTGGGTGGTTGCTATGGTGTTTTAAGGTATTGCGGTTGGTTTCTAGGGTGTTCTGGGTGGTTGTTATGCAGTTGCTAGGGTGTTCTGGGTGTTTGCTATGGTGAACTATTTATGAGTTTAAAAGTTCATAAGTGTATGAATTCATGAGAGTTCATAAGTTTATGAATTCATGAAAGTTCATAAGTGTATGAATTCATGAGAGTTCATAAGTGTATGAATTAATGAATTTATAAGTTCATGAGTTTATAAGTGTATGATTTTATGAGTTTAGAGTTTAAATGAGTAAGAGTTCAGAGTTTATTAATTTATGAGTTTGAGTTCATAAGTGTATGATTTCATGAGTTTATAAGTGTATGAGGTTATAGTTTATAAGTTTAAATGAGTAAGAGTTCAGAGTTTATTAATTTATGAGTTCATAAGTGTATGAATTCATGAGTTTATAAGTGTACGAGTTTATGAGTTTAAAGTTTAAATTAGTTTGAAGTTTAAATTAGTTTGAAGTTTAAAGTGTAATTTAGTTTGAAGTTTCATTTAGTTTAAAGTAGATAGATAGATAGATAGATAGATAGATAGATAGATAGATAGATGGATAAGTGTCATAGATGGATGAGTTTATTAGTTTGAATGAGTCTGAATGGCTCATATAGTATATAGAATGGCAGTTTGATTCAGTCTAGGGTTTCAAGGGATTTACATTTGAATTTTTGACAGTTGGGGAGTTTGAAAATCTGAAGATTCCGCAATGTTAAGTCAATGGGAGTTTTTTCCGAGTTTGATCGTAGTTTTTAGGAAAACCGTAAGTCCGATCAGTTAGAAAAGATATAGCACACTAAGTCAGAACAGTTTGAGTGTCCGTGCCGAGTTTGGAGTATGTGGAGTTAAAGCTCTAGGAGGAGTTAGAGTCAGAAATTTCAGAGTAAGAAAAAGAAGAATAACTAGAAAAAGTTCGTCGAGACAAACTTTAAGTTGGCTTGTGAAAGTTTGGACCGCAAAGTTTGAAGAAGTTTAAATTAGTTTAAAGTTTAAATTAGTTTGAAGTTTAAATTAGTTTAAAGTAGTTTATAGTTTAACTTAGTTTAAAGTAGTTTAAAGTTTAAAGTAGTTTAAAGTAGTTTATGGTTTAAAGTAGTTTAAAGTTTAAAGTAGTTTATAGTTTAAAGTAGTTTAAAGTTTAACTTAGTTTAAAGTAGTTTAAAGTAGTTTAAAGTTTTAAATAGTTTAAAGTTCAAAGTAGTTTAAAGGTTAAAGTATAGTTTCAAGTAATTAAATGT